TGGCCCCATCGTGTTTCACTTGAAGTAGATGAACCAGAGCACAGACTCATGTCATTTGCTCTCCAGCTGCAGTCTGCCGAGATAATACTCTGCTGGCTCAGTTTCTTGCACAAAATATTTTTCGTGTTTATTTTTTGTTTTTATGATCTTCCAAAAAAAAAAAAAAAAAAAAAAAAAACACAAAGATTTCAAACTTTTCAATACTTATTTAGACTGCAAATTATTAATGTTTGCCTGTTACTGATTCACAATCAGTCTCATGTATTGATAAAAGACTCCACTTCTTCTCTCTCTTTTTTACCATTTCCCATTTTGGTTAAAGAAAAAGTAATGTGCATTAGAAATGGAAATCTGACTTCCCAAAAGCACACAGAGCCAAAAGCTAGACAGAGGAACCCTAAGGTCTCAGCCTTCAACCCACTTATGAGAACCAGGATTTACTGTGACTTTGTGCAGCAGAGGATTAATGGAATGAATCACCTTACTTCCCCTTAAGATTTGCCTAGGCATGTGATTTGTGTCTGCTAAGCTGGTATAATGATGAACAATCCTTTTTATTAACGTGGCTAAAAATAGAAACTGCAGTAAGACCTTACATAAACTGGAAGTAACACGTGCCAACTCATGCCCAAATCCCCCAGTGAGCTCTTTAGGTCTATGAGATGTTGGCATCAAACAAATAAGTTGACTATTTTGAGAAAATATGAAAACACGGTCTAAAGCTACTCTTGTGCTTTGCTCTGAATGCTGTGAGCACAAGGTCATGCCTTTGCTTTGCATATTTTTCCCTCAAAACAGTATAATGCTTTGGGTACGTGTGAGCGTAGAGTGTTGCGTGCATATGTACACCAGGACATACATAAAGTCACACAGTCAGGTGTGCACATGCATGCACACACACATGCACGGTCACACTGTGTTTCAGTGCCCTCTTGCAGCCCTGAGCAGCACTGTGCAGGATTCCAGTGCATGCCACCCCACTGTGCCCCAGTCCATCTTTCTGTTCCATTATAGGAATGCCATCCTGATTTTCTGTCACCCCCTTGGGTAGAATGAAGTCAACACAAAGACTAAGGTTGCCTCTTAAATTTTTCCTGGTCACCTCCCTTTAGTCTGTAGTTGTTGGATGTGTTGGAGCTCATCTCATGAGTATAAAACTCTTGAATTGATTTCTTCAGAAGCTAAATCACAATGTTCAGTGAGGAAACGCTGTGGATGCCCTCCCCTTCCCCCCCCAAACTCTGGTGAATGCTAACTCCCATGTCCAATCCAGGATGGGATGGGGACCTGTAAGGATCTGCACAGGAGTTGGACTCAATGATCCTTACAGATTCCTTCCAAGTTGGGATATACTGTGATTCTAAGGGCCAGGAGGGGATGGCTACAGTCTGAGAGCAATACCCATTTTATTGTGCTGGAGGAGTCCCACAAGAGTGTGTTTATTCTATGTGGCACTTGGGATGAAACAAAAGAAAGGCTTATATCATGCGTAAAAGAAAACACTCATTAGCTCACCTAGATTAATGCCATGGAGAATGCCCATTGCTGGTGAAATGCTTCTTCAAATGCATTCTTACTGAGCCATGCTAGCAGCTCACAAGCTATGACTGACAGAACCAACTCAGAGAAGCTTCTCCTTACAGAAATTATTTTAGAAAACATGACAGCTTTTCTTTAAGTCTCGCCTGTTCTTAGTAAGTTTAAAGACCAAATTAGCAATGCAATCATGAGAAAGAGAATTGGAGACTTCTCCAAGCTGTCAAGTGCATTTTCCTGGATGATTAATTGGCAGTGCTCTGGCCAACCCTTGGGTCCTGCTAAAGGCCGTGCCCCTTGACTTGCACCTGCCACTGCACGACTGATTGCAGAAAATGGATGTCTTCACTTTTTTTCTCTTTTTTTTTCTTTTTTTTTTTTTGGTTGTTGTTGTTGTTGTTGCAGCTGTTAAACTGCTTTAAGGAAATCTTACTTATCTAGAACAGAAACTTGAACTTCTTCTCTAATCTCAGGAGAATAAAATGAATGCAGTTCTCTGTCCCAGACTGACTTATGGAAGCAGTAATTTAGAATCTTGAGGAAAGCTGTGATAATTGGACATTATTTTGCGTTCCTCCTCTGTGAGCTTGAATGTCTCTTTACTTTCATGCCTTCTTCTCATAGACACAACAAGATGCCCTGTGATAGCTCACAGGGATGTCTGCCCTGGTCGCAGCCCCCAGCCCCATGCCAGGTCTCAGGGAGGAAAGGCACAGTGAGCAATTACCAACTGCCTGCCAGGGTAAGTATGGGAGGAGAAACTTTGCTTTTACCGTTCAATTTCTAAATACAAAACAAAGCCAAAGGGGCAAAACCAATGCCAGTTAATTCCAAGATACAAGGTGCTATGTGGAGTGATTCGCTCATATGGAAAAAATGGCATGAAGATAGTACAGAGAAAGAGCAAGCACCCTGGAGTTCTCCAGGGAAATGCAAAGCATCATTTGGCCAGTGAATACTTACAGAAATATTTGGGGTGTGTAACTGCTGTGTCCAGACATGCTGTCTTCAATAACAAAAGAATCTCCTTTTCCCTCTGTTGTTGCTGGATGTGGTTTCTCACGCATGGAAGTACTATATTACCTCCTGATCTTTAAGGTCAAGTGTATCACCGGATACTTAAAAAAAATGAGCCAGACAAAAGCAAAAAAGACACATGCAAACCAAATAGCCCTGACACTTCAGATGAAGCCAGATGTTTCTATGCAGAGCAAGCCAATGAAGCGTCGTTTCACTGTTGTTGTCCTCATAACAACTGCCACATGCAAGAGGAGATGGTACCTACCCTCAAACTTAACTCCAGGGTCCTACTGCCATGACTGAGTTGGTATGCAAAGACTCTGCGCTCAGTGGGGTTATCTGTAAACCAAAAAAGCAGCTGTAGAACTGGCTGTCAGTTACAGAAGTTCCATATCAGTCACAGCCACCCTTGGAGGTGCTGCAGTGATCTTTTTCCGTAAGACTGATTTCATGCTTCAAGTCTTCTTTTTCTTTTTGTCTTTTTTTTTTTTTCCCCTCTACAGTGAATGTTAATTCTCTCTATTTTAGGTGTAGTCATTTGCCAAGACATACTTTAACGTTTGAAAACAGTGTTTGAAGACCTTGTTGGAAATGGAAGATCTTTAAGGGTCCTTCCAACCCAAGTCATTCCACGATTCTACCTTGGTGTTTAGAAGCAAAGCAGGATTTATGGTGATGAATGTGAAATAATGTGATAATAAAACAAGAGATGGCAAACCAGTGGTCAAATGTAACTCTCAGGATATCTTCTGTAATTGGATTAACTAAATGTGTCTCTCCCATTTTACAGGGGTTTCATACAATGCAAAAGAGCGGCACTCCAGCCAACCCCTAAGTCATCCATCTTCAGGTCCAGAGAAGAGGACGACTGTTGTTTCTCTCTCCTTAAAATTCTCCTATCTCTTTGCTGAGCTTCTGGCCATATTTCACACTGGCGAAGAAGAGCTGCCTGAGAAGTGAGGTGAGCAGTTAAAGTGGCCTGATGATGAGATGCATCCTGAACACTGCTGTGCTCTTCTGCTGTCATGGGACAATGTCTCTTGGGTAATTTTTTACTATGTCAAGGGCACTTGAAGCATACAGTCGTGGGCAAGGCTTTAGCAAATGCAAAAAAAAAAAAACAACCAAACAACAACAACAACAAAACAAACAGTAAATAAACGTGTAGTATTACTGTACTAGAAGAAATAAGTTTTTATTGCAATCTTTTCAATGCTAATTCTAAAAAGCCATTCCATCTGAAAATAAAGAAACTATATTTTGAACATGTGGCCCATAGAACATGATGCTAACATTTGTCATATGTGCTGTCATGGTGGACTGGAGTTTTCATGCCTTCAATAGCTGAAAGCCCACAGCATTATACAACCATAGAATCACAGAATCATAAAGGTTGGAAAAGACCCCCAAATCCCCAGTGTGCCCCCACCGTGCCTGCTGACCACGTCCCCAGGTGCCAGTTCTCTACAGTTCTTGAAGCCCTCCAGGATGAGAACTCTATCACCTCCCTGGGCAGCCCTTGCCTGCGCCTGACTGCTCTTTGGAGAAGAAATTCTTCCTGACATCCAACCTGAACCTCCACCATCATGGCAACTGAGCACCCTGCACTCAGGGCTCAGCCTTGGCTTTGGCTCCCAGTGATTATATCCACGGCCCTAGATATGAAATGGTGAGCAGGTACCTCTGAGGAGCATGCCTGGAAATGGCTGGAAGAGAGCTAGGGCCTGGCATTGCCAATTGCAGATGTTTGAAGACATGTCCACAACTGATGGCTGATACAGAAGCCAGGAAATGCCCCTTAGGTAAGCAGTTCTCTCTCTCTCATCTGTAGAGGAGGAAGGAAGGGAGGGCTGATCACAGGCTACTTACTTCAAGGAAATTTGTTGTAGTATTTGCTGACTCCCATGCAAATTTGGCACTTCTCGTTTACCTCCTGAGATGCTCAGGAGATCCCATAAGGGTAGGAGCTGGGACTTAAAGCACAGTGCCTAAAATGTAACCCCTGCAGACATCTTGGAAGAGCTAGGAACCCTGCTGTGTAATAAAATGCTCCGTAGAGCCCGCAAGCTGCGATGGTATTTTAAACTTAGGAGGAAGCATTCCTGGAAGTGTGATCTGCTCTTTAGTATGAGAGGCAGAGAGGAAAGATGATTTCTGTGCTCCCCTCCCTGTGGTCAGCATCCACCCTCTGCCTGCTCCCATCAGTCCTGCCACATGAGGTCGGGCTGACCTGACAGCCAATTCCATTGGGATCTTCCCAGATGAAGAGCATCACAGAAAAGCAGCACCTACTTCTTGTTGGGTGTGGTTAACGTGAAGAAAGCACTCCAAAATGCTGTGCAAATCCTAGAGAGAAGGGTAGGATCCTTTGATCATCCTGCAGATAAATCATCCTTTGTCCTTATTTGTCCTTAGTGGAAATTTTTTTAACGAGTGTGGTTTGGTTTTTTCTGTGAAATAACGACAACTGAATTGCATAACAAAGATGTGAGCAGATGATTGACCAGCAGCATATTTGGCTCCCTTAGGGTCAGTGCATAAATAACTGTCCCCAGAGCTGAAGCAGAGCTGGCTTCAAGGCAGACATCCCTTGGTGGGCAAAGAATGAGGAGGTGCTACACGAAGTCTGCATCGCGCCTTGTGCTTATGGTGGGGGTAGCATCATTCCTGCAATACATCAAAAACTTCTCAGGTGCATTTCAGAGGTTGCTGTGTGATTTTGGAGGAGAGAGTCCACTAGAGATGGGCGACCGCAGAGGCAAGGCCAGGTTCTAAGAGACAGGCTGAAATGAACCATAAATTACTGTTAGCAAAGAGCAGGATTCTCACTTCTTTTTTCATTCCTATTCATAATGCAGCCCAGCAAATAGAAAAACAAATAATAGAGAAGTTATCATTGGTCCTTTGGAAGTCAATTTCTCTGTGCATTTAACCATAAAAGCAACATCTGCTCTTCTAAATACAGGTGTTTTATATCCTTGTCATTAATTGGAGGGGACATTATGTCATCATACATCAACAGTTAAAGTTGGTTGAAGTGCCACTTATCTCAGGTGCTGTCATTAATCAGATCCCTTTCATCTGGGTGCCCACACTGCCTCTCTCAGCAGCTACCTTTTACACCCCTCAAATGTTTTCCTGCTTTTTCTCCCTGGTTTTGAATTAACAGCTGGGAAATCTGATGCACACCTCCACATGAGGGCAGAAGTCACAGAGCACAGCGTGTGCCAGGAGGACTGCATCCCCCTGTCCAAGCATCGTCATGGTCCGGAGGATTGCACGTGGAAAGCAGCCCATTAGTGAGCCCAAACTGCAGGAGAGTTGTAAGTGAAACAAATTGAGTGTGACAGAAAAAAGTAAAGTATTGAATGGATTTTCTTTCTGAGAATTGCATGAAGTCAAGTATCTTATTAAGTTCAAGAGAATTACATTTTACATGCTTCAGCAAGAGACATGTACCCTTTAGAAAATAATAATGAACGGCTTTTTTTTTCTTTTTTTTTTTGCATTCATTTACATACCTTTGATAAATTACTGTAACCAGATTAGGGAGATAAAATAACTAGTCTATTAATTACAATGATTATTATTTAATAGAAAATGGGATTCTGAGCAACGTTTATGGTAAAAGGAAAGCTTAGCAATGCATTATATGGATGTGGTATTTTATCTTGGAGAGTAAGATAAGTGTCCGGCTCCTCCTGCAATCTAAAGAATATGTTCATTACCTGGGCAAGATTTATAAGTATAATTGAGTGTAATATTTTAAAACTATTTGCCTTATTTCACAGTACACAGAAGACGAGGCAGAGCTGCTTCGTTAATCAGGCTGTGTAAATTCCTTCACGAAGTCATCTAACGAGAGTTGTATTTGTAGAGAAATTACCATTTAATTCAAAATTTTGCAAGATGATTTAATTGCAGTCTATCTTGATCTTCAGAGGAGTTTTCTGGGCTTGTCTTCTCATTTTACATATGCCTTAAGTGAACCCCGTAACATCTAAATGCATACCTATGTGTATATACATATACTGAATACATGCACATGTGCTTCTGTGCACACATAAACCAGCCCTCTCAGGGATGGCAGTTTGAATTGTGTCCAAAAACAGGAAACTGCAGTATGTCACAACCTAAACACAGCAGAGGGAGGAATGGGAGGTACCTACATACTCCTAAATCAAGTGTCTTCTGGCTCTGGACTCCAAGCTTTGTAGCTGGTGCTCTGTTCTCTTTGCATAGCTTTTGAGAGCAGTTTCTGAAGGTTTTTGTACTGGACATCAATCTTAAAATGAAAAGAGTGAACCCCAGTCCCAAGGATGCTCTTCTTGCAGATTTTTCCCTCACCTTTGCCAACACGAGGGCTCAGCTTTAGAATCATGGAATCATTAAGGTTGGAAAAGACCTCACAGATCGCCAAGTCCAAGCCCAAACTATCCTCATGATGCCCTCTGACCATGTCCATCAGTGCCATGAACAGCATGAATTTCTCATGGTTAATGTCACCACCAACCTGAGCCAAATCCAGCCAGACTTTGGCACAGTTCTGCATCAGCCTGAGAGCATCCCCAAGCAGCCATTGGGGAAGTTGTAAGAAGAAGGTGTGCTCTGAGAAGTATTTGCAATAAGTTACGTGAATGCTCTAGATGCCATCAGTTCATTCAATGAAATGTATTTAGGTCCCTTCAAACCGTGGCACAGGACCAAGATTTGAAAGTTGGATAATACAGCTGAAACTCACCTGTGCACTAAGAGTGTGAATGGGAATTGTTGATTGATTCGCTGAAAACAGGAGGATCTCATCCTCAAACAGGAGAATGGAATTTCCCTGCCTCTCTGAGCCATGAGTGCACACCCTGAAAAGGATGCACTCATTTCAGTGAACTTTTCCCAATAGTCTTAATCTCCTGCAGCAAAAGGAAGAACTAAAGTAAAGAGCAGAAGGAGAGCCACCCCCAGGCATGGGGACCCCACAGGATCCCACCCCCGTGTCCAGACCAGGCCTCCTGCATCTTCCCCTCTCTGCCCTCCAATGCTCATCATCTCAGGAGCCGTTGCTATCCTTCCTGCACTGGTCTTATGCCTCAGATCATCTGTTCACACTTACAGCATCCATCACCTGCAGCCATACTCGGCGACTTTCATTTTGGGATATGCCAACTCACTGCCTATTCCTATGTTTTATTTTTTCTGTGGACCATCCCATGTGCTGCAGTCAGTACTGATTTACAGACCCCTGCAGCCCCTCCACAGCTACTTTTCCAAGCTTGTCAGAAAGCCGTGCCGAGCTGACCCTTCCTCCCAGAGCTGAGCTTTCCCCAGCCCTGCACTGAGCTGACAAGCAGTTGTTCTTCACAGATCTGTCACATCTGGTTTTATTCACACATCTGGCAAAAGACAGCGATTACATCTATTTTCCAGCTCTCCTAAGTGTTCCTGCTTCGCATCCAGACAGAGGGAGGGTGAGGTCAGGCAGGAACAGTGCTCTCTGACAGCCCCGTGATGGCTCTATGCACCTCTTCGGGGTGCTTCTGTGCTCAGGTTATAAATCATGACTGCAGCTCGTTAGCTTGCAGGCATCGCTGCACCCTGCAGACAGGCACAAGCCCCCACCTCCTGGTGGCAGAGCCCTTCTGCCCCAAGGTGGAACCCACCAGGGGCTCCCCGTGCGTGGCTGGAGACACTCAGGTTGGCAGAATAATGACAGCCACCTGCTGGCTCCTATTGCTCGGATATTTCACACCAGAGATTTGTTGTATTAAAGGGCACTGAAATTACTTATGTCAGGTAACTGAATTATAATTAAATGCTATGTAAATTATTAAAATACTCTTATGGCAATGGGGAAACATAAATGATAACATAAGACAGCCCCTTTATGGAATTAGCTTACCAGCAGTGTTTTGCTGTGATTTGCCACTGCCTGTTCCCACTCTCGCAGGCTATGGCAGCTCTGAGCTTGTCCCTCCTGCTGCCCCCTCTCTGCCACCACCCAACAAAGCTTCCAGGGGCACAAGAACTCATGTTCACATGGGTCTAAAATTTCCACCAATAAATGTGGAAGCCACAGACCATCTCAGTGCATCCTGTGTTGGGACGAGGATCAGCACCACCTGCTCACTTGCATTGGCACAGTGGGAAAGATGCTGGGATCGGGATTTGGTTTCTTGCTTTTTAGTTAGTGAAAAAAACTGTGTCTCACTATACATTCTGATCTGAAGAAAGCACGGGGATCAAGTATATGGATTGAATGGGCAATGAGTTTGCAAAACTATTTTCCTTTTCTCACTCATTATTGCATACGTGTAGGAGACAGTATGATAAACTGTAAAACTTTGTGATAAACAAGAGTCATCTCTAAGCCCTGAAGGTCTTAGTGACTATGAATTTCATACATTAAAGAGAATTATAATCATAATTCTGCAGTCATCATCCTAAAGCCCAATAGTATGACACCATTGGCATTCTGAAGCCCAATAGTGTGACACCCAACGGTATGGTTGTTCCATCACAGACTGGAGCCTGGTCTCTTGTGGCCTCTCCAGCATCATTCTGTGGCTCCTTGTCCTGCTTCCTCTCCCTTCTCCCTCCACTCTTGTCCAGAAGCTCAGTTTCCATGGAAGGGACGTTGACAGTCCCACCACCAATGCAACCTTCACCTGCACCATCCTGCAAAGCCACCAAGCATGAGCCATGTCAACACGCACATGCTTGGAGGTTGCTGCACCAGGGTGGGCACTGGTGGAGAAACCAGCTGTGCAGTGCTGAGTGAGTTTGCACGGGAGTTGTAGGCATTTGTCAGTCCCAACAATCTCTTTGGGGAAGTGCTTATCAGCAAGGAGCAGAGAAATAAAAAGGAGCTGTGGCTAATAATAAACTAAACACTGTGGGTGAACAGATTGCACTAAATACTGCTGTTTTTTTCTGGGTTTGGGGTTTTGGTGGGGGTGTTTTTGGGTTTGTTGGGGTTGTTCTTCGCTGATGGTTTCCAGCTGGGACTATAAACTGGTTTGTGTATGGAACTCTTTCCTTACTCGCCTGTGCACCCATTGGGATGCTTTATCTCAAAGCAGCATTGCTTGTACAATAGAGTGTGTGCACAAACACGCACACACACACGCATAAAGGGAATAAAAAGTGTTGTTATCCTGCATACACATAAGCATAGATTCTCAGTTAGAAGATTTACTCTGGAACAGTGTTTCTTTGGAAGCTGATATTTCTTTCTTAGCTAGGTTGGACTAGTTGGATCAGAGAATTTAATTCCCTGTAAGAGTGATGAGGTACTGGCACAGCTGCCCATGGAGGTGATGGAGTTCCCATCCCTGGAGGTGCCCCAGAACCATTGGGTTGTGGTACTTGGAATGTGGTCAGTGGGCATGGTGGGAATGGGTTGGGGTTTGGCTTGGAGACCTTAATGGTCTTTTCCAACCTTAATGACTCGCTGATTCCATTTAGGAACATGGTTTAGGGCTTGGGGGGAATAGTGAATGGGCTTGGTGAACTTGGAGGTCTCTGTCAACATTAATGATTCTGGAGAGGTTTCATCCATCAGTAACTTCTGCTGCAGTTGGTGTACCTTGTGGTACACCTTATGCCATCTCCAAACACTGCCAGTTTTCATTGCAGCAGAGGGACACAGTGCTCCTGCAGAGCTTTCTGCAGTCCTGGTCCGGTTGGGTTCCTCTCACAGGGATTTAACATGAAATGGGTAGGAAATTCTTTACTATGCCCTCTGTAGGGAACTGGGGGGAAATCAAGGAGCATGCATATGTGTGTGCCT